CTACTACTACTATTACTACTACTACTATACAATCCGTAACAGGCATCTGTATACAACACAGACTCGATATTATAAATTACTTCTGAAACTCACTCTTACTAGAAATCTAAGAGCTAATGTTCTAGATTTTTTAAAAATCATGACAACTTTATTTTCTTAAGAAGCATGCGTACATTGTTATATGAATATAAATTTTACCATCCCATACGGAAGAACAGGTTTGAAGAAGGTTAATACCATCAATCTTTTGCTAAAATTGGTCAGTGTGTAGTGTGTGCGAAGAGGATTTGGTATTCCATACCATCCTCAGCCATCCCTGAATCCACAGAAGTGAAACGCGTAGAAAACTCTTGCTCTCTGATGTAGATGCTTTCTTTTGCTTTCTGATGACGACATGAGAGTGTTCAGTGTTTTGGTTACTGATTTATAGATACCATCACGTGATATCTATTGACGGTGCACCCTAACCAATAGTAATGAGTTTGATAATGATGCACTAGCTGTAGATTATAGTATACACCAGGGAAATAAATGTGATCGTTTAGATTTTTTTCTTATGGATGGAATGCCAAGCTTCAAGGAACAATGTCTTGTCTTTTGTCTCCAATTTGTATACGATTTACCGGCGTTTGCATTGCTACGCGGCCACCCTAGACAAAAATCGCGACTTGCACTTTGCAATAGACTGCCGTCAATCAAACACGTTGACGCCATTTACACGCGTGTATGATTCAAAAGGCGCCAAAACTTCGGTCGATTGTTTACAAGTATTATGAGCCACACTCACCGGGCCTATCCGGGCCGATCCAAGCGCGTGTAAATGACGTCAACTTGTTCGCCGGTAACATGAATAATCGAGAAGCTTTAAAATGATTTCTTCGACTATAAACCTTCACTAACCTCAGCGTTTTTGACAAGAATACTAATAAGAAATACAAGTCATTCTAGCTGTTCTTGAATCTTGAATTGACCTATCTCCTAGTATTCTGTKGTTGCAACCACGTGTATTTTACTGGTGCGGAATATTTTTCGGTGCCAATCAAAAAACAATTAATATTACCATGTAACTCACAGGTAGATATCTGATGCCCCCCCCCCCCTCCCTCCCAAATTAAAATAAATAAATAAAAAAGATTCATGGCAACAATTTATTAAACTCACTYTACAGCAAAGGTTGGATTTGGCGAAAATATGTTCATTTCTATGTCTTTTTAGACACGTAATAGACGCTTTCAATTATTTTACTGGGCTGCCTGTTGCTAGATTGTCGACAATTCATAAGTTATTAGACCTTTAGCACGACGTTCTTGCTAGGTAGAGTACGAACAGTGTATTATTTTGTCCCTGGGTATTGTTATTCAAATAAGGTATGGGGAATCACTGTGGCCTGGAACAAACCAAACCAGAGCGGACGACCAAAGTCGTCGGAGCTAAAACCGTCTTCATCAATGGAGGAGGAGGGTGGGTCGCTTTATATATATTTAATGTTAATCCCCAGGGACCATAACACAATATTCACATGACTTTGAATACTAAAAGTGTGCAACATTTAGTGGTAAATAGTGCTAATTAAACAATAGAAAACAATAGGGTTAGCATAATTTAGCTGTATTCAGTGGTATTTATGTTACACACTTATAGTGTTTGTATTCTACCGCACATCTCAAACTGCAGTTCGAAGTCAGGCGTTTTCCAGACTGTCGACTTTTAGCAAGTCGTCATAACGAAGTTGTTGCTGGAAAAGCCGCCATATTGAATTTCATTGATGCTGAGCRTTTCTTCGTGTTTGCTTGCGTGTTTCTGGGCCTGATCCCTATTAGTTAGTGCTAAACCTGATGCTAAAGGTATCTATTAAGATGATCAATGTCCGTGTGATACCAAAGTGATTGATTGGGGTTGGTGAAGTTTATCACGTCTCAAAAATGTAGTGTCTACGCATTTATTTTCTTTCTCTCTTTCTACGCATTTATTTTCTTTCTCTCGAGCTTGCAGTGAAAGAGACAATTGTGAATAATTGTCCTAAGTGTAAAAAAAAGTTCTCTTTCGTTGCAAGCTCACCATTCGTCTCACTTGGATGCAAAGGCACGGCTACTTTTCAATTCAAGATGGCGCTGAAGTAGGGGAACTGTGAAGGGGACTATTGAAGTTAAAAAACGCCGAGGAAAACAGAAATATCATTAAAACAATAACACTGAATCCACAAAAAACATTTACTTCATAATTTTACAAATGTTTTAGTATAAAACATACAAAAATAAGCTTTTATACTAGTATTCCGTTACTGTATTGCATTATGCACTACTTTATGCTCTATGGACAATTAATAACAATATACCCCGAAGGACTGAAAGTCAAATACCCATATCAACATTGATGCATCTGATTGGCTGAAATCTATAGTTGCAAATCAGACCATCTTAGCTACGTTGTTCGTTGTGCACATTTCAGACCATGTAATGCCACTCTTGGGAGTTGATTCTTTCATGTGTAAATATTTTAACATGTTCGTCATAAAAGAACAATTCTCAAGGGAATGTTATAAGATCTGAAATGGGCAATTTGCGTACAAAGTTAARATGGGTTATTCACTTTTAAGTATTTATTTTTTCTCATACAAAATCCACTGCTTAAGAATTAAAACTCATTTGTTATTGATCTGGGATTGTGCGAAACATAGCTATGGCTTTGTTAAAAACTAGAGCTCCACTCAATAAATATGGATATGCAATATGTAAATAGAAGGCATGATATTATGGCTCTATATACAAGGGTATATACAATGAAAACTCATATAAGAACATTATCAACAATTCAAAATGCCTAAACTCATTGTGAGTAAAGTATAGGCTCGCATGAGAATTTTAGTAGGTGCATTAAGACAAATACTCGTAAATATAGCAACATTTTACATTTGGTTTCCAAATGGCGAGTCGAGGTAGGAAATATATAATGTACGATTACGAGGTTCGATTGGGTATTTAATAGCTGCTCTGTGATTGGTTGTTTTTTATGTGTAAGACGAATGATTGCGGTATGTTTTACCGCTGACACCAGGAGGAGAGCTTGAAGGACTTGACCCAGGGATCGCAATATCAAGTATCCAAGTCATACAGCAATGCAGTGCCTGAAATAAACAAAGAAATAATGGTGAAAAACTTAACATTCTTCGCACGTTCTATCTAGTCATTATTTCGAGTTGAGGGGGTGAATTGGGGGGTGTGATACATATCGATTTAAACTCCCCCTTATAATATTCTGTTTTTTTCCCTTTGTTTTGCAAAATGATGTACTCCGTTCCCTTTTTCCCCATTAGTGAAAATTACTTACAATGGTATTTGAACCACCCATCCCGTAGATAAGACCAATTACCAGTAGCAAAACATTAACAWTTAATCGTTTATCGAACGCTCTGTGATGATCTAGGTCAAGG